GGTGTTAAAATAAATAACCACAGCATTAACACCTTGATTGAAGGTTTATCTGATAATCAGATGCATGAAAGTAGCCTTAGTTGCTATAGCAAACAGACTTCAGGGGCATTTACTTTCAGAATCATCTTTTGCGATGGAGAGGAAAAGTTAAATACTAGCCTATAGCAATTTAATTTTATGAAAATGAGATAAAGAAGTTTTCGCACTAAAAGAGAAGTGATCTCGCGCTCATGGAATTAAGAAGTGCCAGGCTATATCTGCAACTAAGCTGAATAAAAAGCAGAATGAACTGATGAAACGTTAAGACAATAAACACAATAAATAAATAAAATGTATGAATGATGCAGTGCTAATTGACATATCATTTATTACAGTACATAAACTATAAAGTATATTTTCTACCTTATTCTGTGCAGAAAATTGAAATAATTGTTTGTAGTATATAAAACAATCATAAAATTGCCATTAGGAAAAAAAAATATATAGATGACAAATGATTGATTATTGTCCAGCAGTGTATTTGATTTCTTATAGCAAATTCAAAGTAAGAGATAAGAAAAGAATTCCTTGTAAAATAAAAATAATAATAAACATACATACATACATACATAAAATTATTGTATTTGACATTTTTGTCACTTCTGAAATGATGGCTACACCCCTGGTGTGACAAAATGTTAGCCTATACATAATACTTTTAAAGCTCTTTTTTAAAATCTTGGCTTACATAAATTTCTACATATGTTAGGGGAAGCATTTAAATAATCCTGTGAATGCACTTAAAGAATGCAGAATCGAATCATTAATCGAATCGAATTTAATTGTGAATCTAATCGAATTTAATCGTTCTGAATTTGCAAAAATCTAATCGATTCGCTGTCTACCCCGCCAAAATAAAGGTTCGGTCAGAAATATGTGACCTGTGCTGGCAAAAATGAGTCACAATGAGAAATTTTTAAAAACTGAGTTATTTTTATGTTCACATTCTCCATTAAAAGACCTTCAGAATGATGTATGATTTGTTGGAATCGGACGAAAAATGGCTGAGTTAGCAAAGTCAATTTTGAGAAAAATGGAGTTCAAGTTTTCGGAAGGTTCCAAAGCAAAATCACAGAGCAAAGTTCCATCTTTTCCTCCAGTTATTTTCTTAATAATAATTACTATATTAATAATCACAATATAGCTATTTTTTATTTTATCTTTGTTATTATAAATAAGAACATACGCAAAAAAAAAAACAGTAGAACAAATATAAGAAACAAATAGTGCATTACCTTTTTCATTTTACTTTGAAAGCTGACGCTCGTGATTATGGTAAGGGGCGTTACATTTCCGATGAGTGCTTGCGGTGTTCGGCCAATCACAGTGCACTGGGTCAGCTGGCCAATCAGAGCAGACTGCACTTGTCTGAAGGAGGGACTTTGTAGAAAACGAAGCGTTTGAGAGAGGCGGGGCATAGAGGACCTACAATAATGTACAGTATTTGAAAAATAATGTGTTTTTTGAACATTAAAGCATGTCAACATATTCTGTTACACCAAATACACAAAATAATGATCTTTAAAAAAGCATCATATGACCCCTTTAAGATCTTCTGTAATGCACGGATCTAATACATTGTTACACATCAGATACACAACAGTTCCCTGAACGTTCACTTAAGACATAACAGATTATGTTTGCGTGAATACTTAAATACAGTAATTCTGTGTATATGTGTATATTTATCGGGATCGCACGCTGTCGGAAGCACCTTTATGCGCGCGCTTCAGGTGACAGTCAGCGTGAGAAGTGAGCGGAGAAAAGGTACTCCTCTCAGAAAACGTACAAATAAAGGTAATTTAACATCTAAAATTATTATTTGGAGCATTGGGATCGCTAGACGAGGGCTTAATGAACTCATTTTTGTGAAAACCTCAAAATCTTTCACATATTTTTTTTTTTTTTTTGCCTGTAGCTCAAAATTAGGCCGTGCGCATTCTGACTCATTTTGCCAGCACGGGTCACACATTTTAAATCTTTTCATGTTGCATCAAAATTCTTTTTACGTGTTTTACATCGTTGTGCATTATAACCAGTCACACACGACTCCGTTGAGTTTATGAATGCAATGGCCAAGCAGAGACCTTCAGATGAGTCATCGCTGAAATGCCAGAGTTGTGTTTTCTGTGTGCGCTCTCAACTGAATTCTGCCCTCTTGCGAATTCTCTCATCATAAATAACAAAGTGCAGATGTATGTATGATGTAAGAGATTCATTCATCAAAAAGTGCATTGACAGCTTCACTGATTATAACGGGAGTTTATTTGTTTGTTTTTTTGAGAGTGCAGACTGAACTGTTCTTTGATAATGTATGTTCTTTGCTGGCATTCTCTGTATAATTTATTCACTTTTTGAATAACTGTGAAAGTGAAAGCATTAGTAACCTACAATGTTTGTATTTAAATATAACCAAGTTAAATGCAAATCCAGTAATATTTAAAAAATGTCTAATGCCACCCATATCTGGTACTTGCTTAAAAAGACGGGTTTATGATGTGCGTTGTTCATAGATTATAGTAACAATAGGCTACTTTTAGCCTTCCTGAAGTTGGTTCACCCTCCGCCTATGGGAACAATCACACGCATCTGACTGACAGATAAACCGCGCGCTTGTATTCAGTGTTGCTGTTAATGTTGCGGTTATTTAAGCAAATAGCTTGCTTCGTAAATTCAGTTAAACAGCATTAATTTAAAGATGGTAAACTTTATCACTCGACTGAATCTGCACATGCATTTTAGACACTTAAAGTGAAACAAAAATAACGACTTTATTCCACATTTTCGTCTCTACTGCCTCACTTGTGGATGCGCGTTCACGACAGTACCATGACGCGAGCATGTGGCGGCGCCGGCGCTGACCCAGATCCGGCGTGATGACGTTATTACACGCTCGCGTCATGATACTGTCGTGAACGCATATCCACAAGTGACGCATTAGAGACGAAAATGTGGAATAAAGTCATTATTTTTGTTTTCTTTGGGCAAAAAAGTATTCTCGTAGCGTCGTAACTTTACAGTTGAACTGATGTCACACGGACTACTTGGTCGATCATCTAGGTACTTTTCTGGACCTTGAACGTGGTAGTTACCTTGCTGTCTATGGGAGGGTCAGAGAGCCCTCATATTTCATCAAAAATATTTTAAATTGTGCTCCGAAGATTAATGGAGGTCTTATGGGTTTCGAACAACACGAGGGTGAGTAATTAATGACAGAATTTTCATTTTTGGGTGAACTAACACTTTAATGTTAAAGAAGCAGTTTCATTTTGGTTGAAATTATTTGTATCAAAATATTTTTTGTAAATAGCTTCATGTGAATTATACAATTTCCAATTGATGTATGACAGATTGTTTAATGTATGACAAATTAAAAATAGCAAAAACAGGAAACATATAGCAATACTTGGTGTACTGGAACACAATATGTATCATTTTGTGACCCAGCGTCACATTTTTGGATTTCCGGTGAAGCCAACTTCAATTACTAATAATTACTCCCAGGGTGGAGGTGTTTCTCTCTATAGCACAGCTTGCTGCACCTGGCAGTAGCAAAGATGCTGTTTAATGCCTGCTGATATGTTGGCACCTATTCTGGCCATGGCCCATCCTGTCTGTGTTGGCCAGTGCCCAGCCTGTTTCTTTCATCATCCTCGCTCTTTTGATCTAGCCCTTCATTCTGCTGGTGCTGTTAATCAGCGCTACATGAAGTGGCTTTCTGCCGACAATTGCCAGACTGGACACAGACAAAACATTTTTTTCATAATTGTTATGTAATGTGCAAGCAGGCTTCCAGCATATTTGTCTTGCTCAGATACAGCTAAATATAGCACACAAACACACACTCAAATTCATACTGAATCAAAACAATTAAATGAGGTGTGTGAACATTTATTTATTTATTTTTCTTTTCTTAAATGGGACGTTATTGTGTTATTTGTGTGGATATTTTAGATGGCCATTTTACCCACATAATATTTTTGGGAGGTTGTATGTTAGGTTGTTCAGCCATGAATTTGAGATAAGGATATTCTTCTTTTTTTTTCTGATCAGAAGCACTGATCAGGAATATTTCCAGTTTCCAAAAGCATGCATATCATGCTTGTCTACTTTGCGTGACACCAATTTTTTTATTATTATTTAATTTTTTGTATACCTGAGTACAATTTGCACCTTCCCCCAAAATAAACCCATAACATGGAACTCAATGTTTTTTGTTTTTTAATATTTTAAACAACAACACCAACAATGTTTCAGTGATGGTGCCGATGTCAGTTATGTTGCACTCCCCTATGACTTGCAGAAATATTTTTATACATGTTTGTTTAATTTAGAGATTACAGCATTCCAGAAAGATCAGAGGGGGGAAAACATGTACAACTAGAGCAAAAAGCAATAAACTTCAAAAGAGAGGCATTAAACACGTGAAGCACAAAAAAAGACAATGTGAACTTCAGAAATCAACCATGTCATATCTTTCCACAGTAGTCTTGTTCTTTCATTTTGGCACGTTTTTTTTATTTTTTATATATTTTAAATGGTAGATCAATAAAAAAGTGTTGCAAGACAGAAGAGAAAGTAAAACTTAAAAATAAATAAAACACTACTAAGCCTTCAGTAACATGGGCCTATCAACACTTGTTTTTAAACTGAAATGTTAATGACTGGATGTTGGATGACAATGTTGTTTCACATGAGATTACAGTAACTGAATGGATGTTGTGTGGTAATGAAGATGACAGCTAAGACCAACACTAAATATCAAATTAGTTTTACACTACACTCTTAAAAATAAAGGTGCTTCACAATGCCATAGAAGAACCTTTTTGTCGGTACTTTTCTGGACCTTGAACGTGGTAGTTACCTTGCTGTCTATGGGAGGGTCAGAGAGCCCTCATATTTCATCAAAAATATTTTAAATTGTGCTCCGAAGATTAATGGAGGTCTTATGGGTTTCGAACAACACGAGGGTGAGTAATTAATGACAGAATTTTTGGGTGAACTAACCCTTTAAATTCACGTCCTTGAATGAGCGCTATAGCGTATTCTTTAACCGCTCAGGTAATGTTGGTATAACCCATTTCAGGGGCTGGCAAAATTACAGTGTAAAATTAGTCAGAGCTACAGAAATGAATCTTAATATTTACAATTAGAGCTTCAATATTGCATTTAGGCTACTTTCTGCTCGACTCCATATTATAAAAAAAAATTAAATTTAATAAATCAAAAATAAATTGTGATTTATATCCATTATATGCACTTAAAATTATGTTGTGTTAATTTGTTATGTCGAGAAAACAATATTTTTTTTGTTTTTTTGTTTTCTCAAAAAAAAAAAAAAATGCATGGCTCTTATCAGCCTCCGTACACCGGTGCCCCGGATGCGTAGCACGGATGAGAGCGTCTGCGCAGTTCACAGATCTACAGATCCCACGGCTCGTTTTAACAGCTCTGCTGATCGCTGTTTGGATGTTGTACAGATCAGCTCTGTCTGCTCACTCACTCACACACTCATTTAAACCCATAGCTCCGCTTCATTCACAGGCCTGCTCAGTTATGGACATGGCGCCGTTTTTAACGAGTTTTATTTATTTGGTGCTGTTGTGTAGCAGGATATGCTGTGATAATGACACCGAAGAGGATGAGCACGCCAAACACACATACACGGTGGAGATGTTCAATGATGCCGTCTCTACTGCTCCACACTTCGTCATGTTCTACGCGCCCTGGTAAAACTGAACACCTTCATCAAATATTTTCATTATATTGAGAGATATACGAAATGGTAAATGCATTGAGATCAATGCCGTTATGCTAGTTCTGAGTTGATTTGCTGCAATGTTTGAAGTGACTCCATTAGCCACTTTAATCTGCAGAGATAAGTCAGTTTTGGATGAAGTGGATGTCAAGTTTAGTAAAGACACGAAGCACCATTTTTGACATTAGAGTGATGATAATAGACTTTGGTAAAAAGTTTAAATTCCTGCAGCCATAAAGTTTTAGTGTAACTGTTACGTGGCAAAGCATGAACAGCCACATCAGACATCACTTCCTCATCCTCTCATAAACCAAACAAAAAAAATAATGCAATGGTAGTACCATGGTCTTTATATATTTTTTAAGGTTTATACTATGTACAAATATCATGTCATGTTTTTTTTTCCTCTTCGTTTTGGTCTTGTACCATGGTAATACCAGGGCATTTAAACAAAAATACACCAAAAAATACCACAGTTTTATCAATGCAGTGGTATTACCATGTTATTATTCACTCTGTCTTTGATGGTATTCAATCAAAACAAACAGCCACATTACATGAGCTATCAAAGTAAGAAGAGACAGACACAGTCAGTGATTCTAAACCACTAAACAGTATTCCTGTATTACACACACCACCATAGTCTTTGCTTTTAAAGTTTTTTTTTTTTTTGGTTTTCTTCTGGGTACTGTATTTTATTGTACTTTATAATATATTGTACTTTTAAGTTATAAAAAATTTTTAGTTTTATGTTGAAAGTGATTCAGTAAGGCAGATTTTTACCTGACCAATAAGCTTAAAGGGATACTCCACCCCAAAATGAAAATTTTGTCCTTAATCACTTACCCCCATGTCGTTCCAAACCCGTAAAAGCTTCGGTCGTCTTCGGAACACAATTTAAGATATTTTGGATGAAAACCGGGAGGCTTGTGACTGTCCGATTGATTGCCAAGTAAATAACACTGTCAAGGTTCAGAAAAGTATGAAAGACATCGTCAGAATAGTCCATCTGCCATCAGTGGTTCAACCGTAACATTATGAAGCGACAAGACATTATGCTTGCGTTCAGCGGATATTCTCCAAAATGGCGCTACGGTGATG